ACTAAATCAGTTCAGTATGATGAAGATGACTGCTTCACAATGATCAGATCAGACTGGTTGTTAATGACATCTTAGTAGGACATATTCTTCATGTATTCAGTAGTTAGTAACATTGGTCTTTGGTAAATATAGATGTGAAAAAGTCAGTATTAATAATGCATCTTTGTTTATTCCTAAGTTAGGGTCTTCAAACAGTACTTAGGGGCAGGAGGAACACCAAACAGGCTTCCTTTCTTTTTGCCAGAGACGTACAGAATCTACTCTATTGTTCAATCCATCAATTCATGAAAATGTGCAGAGGATTTAACTGCAACAGCATAGACGTATAAAAAGAGAACTGGCAGTTTGAGTTACCAAGAAAAAACACCTCACTCTTCAGACAAGTTAGTCGAGTAACTAGCATTTACACAGTCACAGGAACCATATTATCAAAACAGTTTAAACCTTCAAGCTAAATAGGGATAACACCAATCTCTTTCCAAAACCTCATAATACTTTTCAGTGAGGCTGAATCAGGACATTTAGTTTAGAACAGCATTTATTTTTAATCATTATGTTTGAATTGGAACCTTAAACATAAAAGAGTTTCATCCTTATAAAGAAACCAAAGATAAACATTAACAGCTACTTGTTAGATTAAATATTAGGGGGAAAAATGGCACCAGGAAAGTCAGTCTTCCTGGGTTAAATAATCTATTATATTCTTAGTGAATGTAAGACATTTCCTAAGTAACAGGGCCTGCTCTTAAGAAGTTTGTTTTTTTTTATTTTAAAAACAATTTTACAGGATCATATCAAATTAAGATGCTTCTGTACAGCAAAAGTAACAGTGAAAAGATAACTTATAGAATGCGTGAAAATTTTTGCCAACAATTCCTCAGAGGACTAGTATCTAGAATATATAAAGAACTCAAAAAAATTAGATCCCTCACCCCAAAGCAAAAGACAAAAAACAGGCAGGTGAAATGAACAGATGCTTCACAGAATAAGTACAAATGACCAATAAATACATGTCAACATGACTGGTCATTCAAGAAATGCAAGTTAAAACAAAGCTGAGATTCCATCTTATTCCAGAAAAGAATGGCCATTATCATCAAGAAATCAAATATTAACAAATACCAGTCAGGCTGCAGGAAAAAGGAATCTTCTACACTGTTGTGGGAATGCAACTGAGTACAACAACTATGGAAACCAGTACAAAAAACTCCTAAAATTAGAAATTTCATTTGGTCCAGCTATTCCTCTTCAAGGTATCTTCCTGAAGCAGTTAAAATTCATAACATTACCTTGATGCCTGTATGCCCATGTTTATGGCAGCTCAACTTATATCAGCTAGACCTTGAACACTAGGGCTAGTATGTCCGTCCATCAGCATGAGTGGATAAAGAGACCTACATACTGAATACGTACATACAAAATAGTTCTACTCTTCCATAAGGAAAGAGAAATAAGCTATTTATCAGAAAATGATGCATTCTGAATTCATAATGTAAAGTAAAATAAATCAGATGCACAAGCTTAAATATCCCATAGTTTCTCTCATATGAGAAGCCCAAAATAGAAATAAAGAGCAAAATAAAAGACAAGAGGAAGTAGGGATCTTCCTCAAATCATACAGGATCAAGAGATGCAGGGAGAAAGACAAGAGATGAAGCAAAGAATTAAGATGTGTTATGTAGCAACTCCACACAGGGGATGTAAACGCTATGCACTGCAAACATGTAATGGATATTTTAAAACCTCAAAAATTTTAAAAACTTAAAGGATTTTTATCTATGGCATCAGGTTAAAGTATAGCTGTCTGATGAATTAATGTCAAAGTGGTCACAGCCACGCATGGTGGTAGATGCCTGTAATCTCAGCACTCATGAGGCTAAGGCAGGAGGACTGCTGTAATCTCGAGGCCAGTCCACCTGAATAGTGTGTTCAAGATCAGCCTAAACTGCATAGTAAGACCCTGTTTCAAATAATCTAATACACAAACACACAAAAAGTAGATGGTACTACTTCAAAGTCTATGATGTTTCAGGCCCTGTCCTTCAGTGCTTTTCTGTTTCATTTTCAGAACTTTTAATGACTAGCTTTTTTTTTTTTTTTTTTTGTCTTTTTCTTTTTCTTTTTTATTGGTACCAGGGATCGAACTCATGACTGCCTGCTTGCAAGGCAGGCGCTTATGCCGCTGAGCTAAATCCCCAGCCCCTAATGACTAGCTTTTTACTTGATATAAATCATTTCATTCAAAAATTTCAAACCTTTTAAAAAGCCATGATGAAGCTAACATTTAATGAAAGAGTAAGACCCAAGAGAAACTAAATTAAGATCTAAACCATAAATTAAGATCTAAACCATAAACACACTTCAGTCAAGAAAGATAAAACCAGGACAATGAAACGTGTGGGTCCATCTCAGCAGCAGCAGCACTCATTGTAACCATGGAAATCCCCATCCCCGTAGGTCGCCACCATCATCACCTTAGTGTCTGTTTAACACAGGCGTCCATGGCCATTCACACACGTTCAGTTCATGCTCCTTACTGCAGCCATTTTACAGAACACCTTCCTTCAGTGGGTGTTGCTGGTATTTTGTCTTAAAATGAACATGACTGGTTGTTCAGGGTGCCCAAGTTAAGCTATAATGAAGATGATGTAAAATTTCCCAGAGAAAATATCAGATTCAAAAGCTGACAAATGAATATGACATAAAGCACAGTGTTACCCCACCAAAATATCCGTGCTGTGACAGTGACTCCTCATGTGACCCTGGGCAAGGCACCTAACCTCCCTGGGCCTTGCTCATTTCCAGCAAGGGAGGGATAACAATCTTATTACCTTTCATGACTTAACAAGACAGAGAGTTTAGGATTGTGCTTGACATACAGTGAGACTGCAATAAATGTTAAGTGTTGTAATTGCTATTTTTAATAGACAAATCCATACAAACAAAACCACTGGTTGTATAAGTTACCCTATATATTTACCATAACCATATCTTCTTTTAATCTGTGGCGCTGTAATTTTATATGCTGGTTATCTGCCCACTTCAACACTTTTTTTAGTTACTGCATTTCAGGACTCTAAAGGTGCATCATGATATTCAATCAAATGCTTCTAAAATAATCAGAAAACAAGCACAACATGCTAACCATAGAAATGAACACGTTTTCTTCACAAATAAATAAAACAATCTCTGTGACTATTAATGATAAAGATGCTGGTTGGGAGGTTTTTAATTTGTAAAACACCCAGTGCAACGGTGAGAAAGCTCTTCCTTTCTCTCGTTTTCCCTTACTCTGAGCTCTTCGCAGAGATGGTCATGTTTCTCACTGTGCTCACGCTTGGACACAGACAGGAAGCATCCACCTATAGCAGAAGCCCGATCACTTTTTTTTTTTTGCCCACTTTTTTACAGTTTATTGAAACAGAGAGGAGAAATGAAGACCCACTCTTTTCTCTACACAAACCTGGAAGAAGAACCGTAATTTAATTGTCTCACAAATCACAAAACAGTTAAATTGCATTATTAAAAAAAAACTTTTGAGAACTGTCATTTAATACTTAAACTTCTGTCAGGATTCACTAGAAAATTCTCAGTTAACAGTCACTCCTAAACTCATGCTCCACAGAACTGTGTTCTTGTCACATGAAACTTTCACTTTACAAAACAGAAAAATAAAAGTTTAGCAGTATAGACAAGGAAGCAAAGTCAGTACTAAGGTAGTTCCTTAACCTTCAAGAATTGAGATCCAAATACTGATTTTTAAGCCTGGAAGGAGCTGGATTTCGAAGGCATTTAATAAAAGAGCAAACAGAACGAGGAACAACAAAAGCAACATTATTTTGAAGTTATTTTTAAAAATTCTGTCTTCTCCTAAACCATGTTATTAAAGATAAGTGAAGACACAATATGTCAGTCTAATACCTTACAATCTGGAAGTTCATTTAATTTCTATTAGCTTTCCATGGGAAATAATCCGTCAGTCTGGTTTGTTGTTTTTGTGGTACCAGGGACTGAATCTAGGTCTCACACGTGCAAAGGGATACTCCACTGCTGAGCTACTCTCCCAGGTCAACTGGTAGTTCTGCAAACCTTGTTTGTATTTGTTCTTAGTATATCCTGTGTGGCAACTCTGCCATCTACTTTCACCACTGTTTATCAGAAAGTAAACACAGGATCCAGAGCAATCCCAAAGGATTAGATAGATCTCACTTGCACAACAAAGACTTACTATTTAGGATCCTCCAAATGGAGAACTGGAAGATGACACCTGCCTCTGTCCCCTGCTGAGTTGGGATGTCTGCTTCCACTGTCATAAATGAGGCCAAACCCAACGACAGGGACACTGGGCCACCACCTAAAATCTAATGTTCCATTTATTCTGTATCACTGAAGCTGTCAAATAACAGACGTTTCTTGGCTCTCAGGTGGTTACATAGTCCAATAAAAAATAATTTACTCTTAATCCTCCGGCTCACAAGCCTAAGATCTTTGTTTTATGAAACCAAGATGACAATATGGAAAGCTACACTGCCATTAAAAGTATGAACCTTTGAAGATGATATTTGCAAAAGAAATTAAATTAAGAAGTACGTGAAGACTATAAAAAGAGAAAGAACAGGAAAAGACTGTAACTCATCATTTAAAGAAAATTCTGCGAGACAAACCTTTACAGCTGAGTTCAAAACATAGTTCTGGTCATACAGATATCAGTTATCAGTCCTCTCAGAAATGGGCTCCATGATGTCAGTTTCAAGCTTTCCTAGGACTTTTTCAAGTGCCTCTCTGACCTCTCTTGATGGCATGTCAGGATCTAAGCATACAAAAACCCAAACCCCAGGAAGCTTGGAACTGCCCCCAGGTGCCTGGATATTACCTGCCAAATCTGCTCATTCAGATTCAAGTACTATAGGACAGTTATTCTAGGAAGGTCTAAAAAAATAGGTAATCATTTTGTTTTATCTGATAGAAATGTCTTTCAGTAGAATTGAAGAATTCCCTACCTTAAATACAGCAAGCTGCTGATTGAGAGTCTCTATCTCCATCCCAACAGGATCTTGTGACTCTTCATGTTCTTCAGCCTTTTGGAGTAGAGTAGAAAATTCTTCAAATTTGCTATAGAATTCTTTAAGACTCTCAAGCATTATTTCAACCTGCTCTTCTCTAGCATGTGCTCGGTCCAGTAACTTGTTGCACTGTTTGCTCAAGGCCTCCAAGTCCCTCTTGATTCCAGTGAGATCAGGAGAGGCTTCCTCTGTGGCCAGCATCATCTTGCAGGTTTTATTAGCATTATCATTGCTTGCTATAAGGGCGCCTAGTTTCTTCAGAAAGGTTTTTATAGCCTCCTTTTGCATGTGCAGTGTTTCTACATCTCTCCCCACTGGAGCCATGCTATCTAATTCATCATCAAACTCTGCAAACTGAGAAAACATTTCTCGGATGGTATTCTGGAAATGTCCAATTCCCTGAAGCTTGGTTTCTAAGAATGAACATTTTTCATCAACCTGCTGACTTAGTGTACTATGTGCTTGAGCTAAGGTTTCTGCTTGCAACAAAATGTCAGAGGTTCCCTTGGAGTCTGCAGCTTCTATCACGAGATCCTGAGCAAGTCTTCTGGCCAAATCTACCTGGTGCATCAAGGTCTGCAGTGCTTTCTGCTGAGCCTGAAGTATGGTCAGCCATTTGTTACTGTAAGCCTGGGGCCCCAGGGACTCGTGGACATCCAGCTGTTCCTTTGCACACTGAAGCTGCCTGTTGGCTTCTTTAGAAACTTCTTCAAATTCTTTAAACTTCCGGGCTGTGTTCTCCAGAGAGAATTTTTTACTATGAAGTTGTTCAGAGATGGTGTTTACCTTCTGGATCAGTGCTTTATTCTCATCTGTAACCACCTCTCTGTCTACCTCACAGACACTGAGCAGGCTGTTGGCTGTGTTGTTCAGCAGCTCTACCATACCAAAGTGTTGGTCCATTTCCTTCTGCAGTGACTTCAACTTGGAAATGGAATTTTCTATTTCAGCAGGATCCAAACAAAACTTAACTTCCTCCAACTTGTTCTGACATTTATCTATCCATGGCCTGAGAGTCTCCACCTGTTCTTTGTACTTGAGGGCTTTTTTGAATGCGTCTATTAACTTGTTTTCTCTTTCTTTCACTTGTTTATTAAATCCATCCCAGTTGTTTTTAATCATGTTAAGCTGTAGCTGTAAGGCTGCCTTCTCAGACCCTTGTGTTTTCAATAACAAATTTTCACCTTCTGCAATGGTTTTTTCATAAATATTAGACTGGGCAGCTAAAGTTGTACTAAAGTCTTTCTGATCTTTAATTAATGATTCTAAGACTTTCAGGCTGGCTGATACTGGGTGAGACTTCTTTTGCTCTTCTTTCTTTGTATCCAGCCAAGCCTGAAAATCTTTAGACATCTGCTGAAATTGATGAGAGCTTGCACAGGCTGATTGAAGATGCTGGACAAGATTTTCTGAAAGTGAAATTATAGACATATTTATTTCACATTGAAAGGTTAATTTAACCTATAGAAAGCCAAGAAAACAATCTCCAAATGAATGTATAGAAGCTATAGGGCTTTTAGCGCTGATATGAAGAACCACAAGAATGACTTAAATAGGGGGAAAAGTATCTATACCAATAAAAAAAAGAGGGAAAGTAAGAAGCAAAAAGCAAGAAAGAGAGGAAGCAATGACTATGGAAATAAGAAAAAATGCATGAAGGGGCACCCTGCCTGCTCTGCCATCATCCTCTGCATTTCACACAGGGAAGAGACACCAAAGCTCCAGGCTGGGGTGGACAATCTACCTCTCGGAAAATCTGAGTGTTTTTGCTTCTATGACTTTTACATACAACAGAAGTTAAGTTACTCGCCCAGGGTCTTTGAGCTCTGAAGAGGTGAATCCAGGATACAAACCCACGTACTTTCTGTGTGCTACCTTATGTTGCCTCGATGTTGAAAAAGAAGTCTGAAATGGTTGCTATAATCAATAAACAAATCCAATCAATTAAAAATAAAAATTAAGAGCTCTACAGGAGCAAGACTTAGAAACTAACACTATGTTTCAAACACACCAGAGCAACAAAACATGTCCTGCCTTGGCAAGACGCTTCCGACTTCCTATAACCCACTATGCTGCCTCGAATGATTACCAGCATATCGGCCACAGAATTACCGCTCAGTAGGCAGGGAAGAAAACACGCATTTCTCTGAGGTATCTATCTATGATGGGGGGGGGCATCAGACGGAGCTGGGTCGTGGCTCCACAGCTCAGCACTTGCTGTACCCACATAAGACCTTGGGTTTGGTCTTCAGCAAACAGCAGTAAAAAAGAAGATAAGATGATATAAAGGCTTTAATATCTAATCATCTGTTTTTTGAGGGGACCTTAGGTAATACCACATAAAAATGTTCACATCTTTTCAAAACCAACATGGGGTACCCAGTATTTGAATGGGTGTCTCAAGCAGACTCTTCCCACACAGCTCCTGTCTGGGCAGTGGGCAGACCTTCGTCAGGGCTGTGTAAAGTGTGCCCCAGTGGCCTGGGTCCTGCTGCATTGCACTGCCTTCTGAGAGCCCTGGGTTACATATGTCATAACATAGTCATATATTGACATCTCTGCTATGTATGGTGTCTGTTTCTGACCAGAAAACACACATATTAAGAGAAGACAGACCTGCTTTCTGTTCAATATCCTTAAATGATTTTAAGATGCTGTCCAGCTGCCTACTGAGTTCTGCTTTCAGGTATTCCTCCCTGACCAGTGTGGACAGGCCTGCACACAGTGCCTGAGCCGCTTTTATCTGTGGTGCTTCCTGCTCGACTTCCTGCTTCAGCCTCCAGGCTATTTCCAGCTGCTGGGTTACAGCATCCGCTGGGGTACTCGCAGTCAGGCTGTCGCTGAGCCGCTTCTCCAGCTCATTCAGCCGCTCCGAGAGGCTTCTCAGCAGGCTCTGGTACTGCATGCTCTGCACGATGCCTTGGTTGATCCGGTCACATCTGTCACTGAGTTGTCCCGTGAGGCTGTCCCACTTCTGGGTCACAGCTGCCAGCTGCTCCTTTACTACTCCATGCAGGGTAGGCTCTTCCCCAGGCCTGCTCAACATACCCTGGCCGGCTGCCCTGAGCTGCTCATACTGAGGTCTCCGGGTGTCAAATTCTTGTAACAGAATCTATGGTAAACACAAATTACTGTATAGTAAGTCACAGAAAAACACAGCTTGAAGCCTCCAAAGAGACAGAAATGGTATTCATTTCTCAGGTTTGGTTTTGCTTTTAGTTACCACTCTTGTAGTTCTTATTTCAAGTACAATGCAATTACACTAACCTAATTGCTAATTCAAAGAGTCATGGTGATTCAAAAAAAAAAACACTTTGCCTAAAATAATCGTATTGCCTGAAAGGAAGAATAGAATAAATCTGTTTTGGTAATCTAGGCAAAATCAACAGAAGTTCACATAAATTTTTCCAATACGAAGGCAAATGGGTTACATCATCGTATTACCACATTTGTCTTTTCCTACCCATGTTTTCTCTTTGCGGAATACATGAAATAGTCCAAAATTACTCTACACTAGGGAAAATATATAATGAAAAGTGTTAGAATATAAGACGCTCACAATGTTTTGTTTTGCAAAGTTTTTTTTGGTGGAGTCTGAGACAGGGTCTTGCATTGTAGTCCAGGCTGGCCTCAAACTCATGGTGATCTCCTGTCTCAGCCTCCCAAGTACTGATTCAACATGATTCTCACTATAAAATGAATGACCCAAAATTTCTGTCTTTTGGTATATTTGATGTATTTTTTTGTATTTTTATCTCTTATATTTATCTACTCATCTCTGAGAGACGATTAAGACCAGGGGCAAATATTTTTCCCCAAACATCTATTTTCATTCTCTTCAGAAAGTCTGTCTATTTTTAGCTTACAGAATCACCTCCCAGCTTTAAAGCCACTATCTGTACCTAAAGAAATCTAACCGGACCACCACAGAGCTTCTGCCATTATTACGTTAACTTTATGCTTTCTTCCCCTTTGTGGACTTATCAGCTTTGTAACGAGACTGCTCTACTACACAAAGCATTGAGGGATCCTCACTGTTTCCTTCCTTCTCTGTCCCTTTCTAATGCTGTCCCTCTTCCCCTCAGGACCGGGACTGCATGAGTCTTACAGACTTCATTATCAACCACCTAAAAACAAAATGAGTAAAACCTCAAACGAATAATTCTAAACGATAAACTTACAGAAACATAAAACAATTACACTAATACTTCAGAGAAGGCCCTTTTTTAATATGGTCTACACCAACCACATGTTCACAAGCATAATCTGGGGACTTGGTCCACACATGAGCTCAAGAAGCTTCCCCTGGGATAACTCATGGCTGCAATGCTCTAAAATGTACAGTGTTGGGCACCTCAAAAGTACAAATTCACCCCTAAAACACAAGAGCACACAGTGTCTAGAGCTGACATATGTACGACAGTGTTGAGCCTGAGACAAACAATCAAGTGACACTCACCTGCACCTGTTGCTTCTGTGTGTTCAGCATATTTGGGTCGATGGACAAGGGCCCAAGCACACTAACCATCAGTTCTTTTTCCACAAGCCACTGTTTTAACTGAGCTTTTACAGTCTGGAATTGAGTGAGATTATTGGAGGACTCTTCCAGCTTTTGTTGTCTGTCAACCGTTAATTGGTTGAGCTCTTGCCACTTAGCATCTGGAAAACAAAAAGAATAAAATTGGCATTTAGTTTTAATATATTTATTATGACTGCAGGAAGATTATATGATAAGATTCAAAATGATATGTAATGAGCATCATTTCATTTTTGCAACTCTTCTTACACAGCCAATTAAGGATCTAACCTAAGAGGATTAACAGCATTTAATGCCACAGATTTCATAGACCTAGTGGTTGTTTATCAAGTGAAATGTAAGAATAAAACTGAATCTTTTTTAAAAAGATACTGTACTAATTGGAATATTCCCTGAAGCAACCAGGATCACTTCTCCTAGAATTTCTATAGTCTATTTATTCAACTACTAGAACAATGACTAGTAATCCTTTTTGAATTAATCATAAATCTCCAAGTTTCATTTTTAACTAGGTAACTCCAAAACTTGTACATCTTTCCCCAATCCTCTTCTCCTATTCAAACTGCACATTAACAACGAGCTGTTGGAAAATTATAGTAGAAATATCCCCAGCTACTTTCAATTCAATGTTCAAAACTAAAACTAATATTTCTATCAAAATTAGTGAATGTTTTCATTTTATAAATTTTGTTCAACAGTTATCATCTCTGTGATTATCACTGCAATGTAATACTACTGATGTTCGTTTAGAACCCTCCACACTCTCCTACCTCCTGATCATAAGATCTTAAATCATTCTGTAACTCCGCTTCAGTCCTCCTCAGGTTTAGCCTAGAATAGTGGTTCTCAGGTTCCAGCTGCAGCAGTTTCCTGAGGGATGTGGATGGTGACTTCGGCGCTCCTCCCCCAGGGTTTCTGATGCAGTGGGCTGGGCTGAGGCCAGGAAGGTTCCTCCTAGCGCTTGCCCTGGTTCCAGGAGCTAATGACCCCAAGTACCAACCAGCCTTTTAATTGGTACTACTATTATCAGTGTCTCCCAACTGTAACCCATTTGGTTCTGAAATACTTACCCTTCAAAAGATATCACTTTTAAATGAGGCATCTTTCTCCCCAAATTGTTCAACACCTAACTCCTTGCCACCTATCAGTGGTGGTGAAACTGTGGCATGCAGGCTACCGCTGACCGTTTGTTACTGAAAACTCTAAAAGGGTTGCCACTGATTCTAGATGATCAGCTCTAATACCTGTTTGATATTTAGGGACTTTCACCATCTGGCTTCAGGCTACTCATCTGGAGATTTGTAATGAGATCTTGAGAAGTCAAGGTTTACCTATCAGAGCACTCAGTCCAGCAGTGAACACATCCATTGTCTAGAAATGTTCACTAATGGATGTGATGACATTATTCTATGATGGTACCCTCAGAATTCATCTGACAGCTGAATTGTGCAATTAAAGCAATCACGATGGAGAAACATCAAAATCACTAGGAAGCTGAAATACCCATTCTTCATTCCCACCCCTTTCTACAAGACTTGGTAATTCTCTGCCCATGTAACTCTGCCTTCCCCGAGACAGCCACCAACTTAGGGACAAGGCGAAAACAATGCAGTAGGAATAAACAAATATACCTTTGAACATTCAGACACCTTAGGCTAACTTTTTGTTTTCAAACCAAAACGTGCTTACAGATTTCTAAACTATCACAGAACATCAAACTTGAAAGGACAATATTTGATAAATACAACGGAACACCTGAATGTTAAATGTCTGTTACAATGAAGGCGGCTACATGCCAGGTACTGTTTCTCTGAGCCACACACATGTTGACTTACTAAATTCACCAAAGTAGTACAAATTACCAGCCCCGTCTCACACTCATTTTTCATATCCTAACAAAAAATGGTAAGACAACAGGCTTGAGAGAATTCTGTGCGTATGAGGAGCAGTTTGGATAGGAAGAAGATGAGGTGGGAGGCTTACTCCGCATAAGAAGGAAAACCACCAGGCTCCTACAACAAGCAACTTTTCAGTAGTGGCTGGCAAAGAGGACCAGCATGAAGCCTGGGGCTTGAGCAGTCCCAGGAGCAACCTGATAGAGAAGGGGGCCCACTTTTTCTAAAGCAAACCTTTTTTCTACATTAACGTAAAGAGTTACTCAAGGCCTAGCATTTTACTAACAAGTATCTACCTTCTTCATAAAAATAACTTTAGTTACATGACAATTCTCAGAATAATGTAATTTGAAATACACTTTTAAAGTATGCAGAAAACAGATTTTAGAATGTCAGAGAAACTTTGAAAATAACTGAGGCTATTGGGTGTTTTCTGGTAAAGATTATAATAATGAAACATGATAGCGATTCTGGTTACGGACTTGAGCGTAAATAATATAACATACCTATTTCTTTCAGTATCTGGTTCCATTTCTGGGCCTCGGGAATATCTGGGTTCTCCTCCAACAGCTCTGTCAGTTTATCCTTCAACTCCTGCACTTTGTTTACATTTTGTTTCAGTTCCGCCTCAAATGACTAACAAGGGAAAAAATTATTCCACTAGAGTACCAACATCAAAGACAAAACCATAATTATGGTACACTTCTTTCTCTAACATGACCAAAATAGGGGAAAAAATCCACTGTTAAATACTAAAGTGAGTGAAAACCCAGATTCAGCAGTCAATTAGTTTTCCTTTCCTTATCTCTGCTAGTCTCCAACTCTGATAAGGGACTGCCACAGAGAACACTCTAACTATGGAGCTCCCAAACCACCATGAAAAAACTAAGATGTCATCAGTTAGGCTATAATAAGAAAATCGGTTCTGTTAAAAGTCTGCCAGAATCTGAGAATCTATTAGGGAATAACACTTTCGTGGGTAACACAGTAAAGAGTATAAATATAATTTAGAGAAATTTTTGTCATTATTACCACTATGCAAAACCACTTTCCCAATCTTGACAGCCCTAAGAAACAAATACTATCTAACTAAGAAAGGGGAAGCATTAGCTACCCTATTTTATACTAGTTGGAAGAGATCAAAATTCTTCTAATTGCTGACTGGCTGCTAACCAAAAGTGACACCGATTCAAAGGTGACACAGTCACTTATACCAAACAGCTTGTGCATCTCTGCATGTCAGTGTATAAAAGGTGACTATTATTATCATCTCTACAGAAAAGCACATTAAACTAAATGGTCCGATTATGAGCTGAAGGTTCAGATCTAGAAATCAGCACAGAGCTCCTGACCCCAGGGCTCTGGTGCAAATGTGCACCTCTTCTCCTCCATGTCTGCAGCGAATCCATCCAAGATGTACCTTATTCTGCTCAAACTGAGTCTTCACAGCTTCAGTGTCAGCAGGGGTTGGCGTTTGGTGCCATTTTGCTGCAGTCTTGTTCATTTTCTCTAACCACTGCATCATTGAACTTGATTCTTCCTGAGCCTTCTGCAATTTGAAGAGCTTAGTATTCAACTCAGCTATTTTGTCCTTGAGTAACAGGCCAAGATCTTCATAACTATGACTTATGTCAGTCATGTCCTTTTGAACAGATGTTAAACCTAGGAGTTAGAAAAACATTATGCTGACCCATGTCTGGGATACTGGGAGTAAAGGTCTAGAAATAACAGTCTGTCTCACATAATACTGTCTTTTATTTTGTCACTCTTAAGCTTACTATGATAAACCACAGACATTTTAGAACTAAAAGGTTAGTTCATCTTACAATGCTATTTAATAACAACTCAGGAACATGCAAGTGAGATTTAAAAAGGCATTTTAAATGAAATAAAATGTTCAAATAATAAAATACATTCCTCTAGTGCCAAACTAAAATAATGTCACTTGGAAGAGTGACAACATATCTCTAACTAAAAAGGATGAAAAGCACCAAATTAAAACACTGGACTTTACTAATCTCAGATGAATAATGTTTATATCAAGTTACATACATATATTTATGATGATTGTAACTATATGCATTATATACTTTATCTTTTTAATAAAAGCTACTCTTTAACATTTCTCCTCAAAAACCCACATGACATTAATCAATAATAATTTAAAATTACTATTCACCTTTATTTGTCAAAAAGTCCTGTGTATTTATGTCTGTTCCTTTACCATTTAACATTACTCCACCTGCAAAAATATGAACGCAAAATTCATTAGATTCATCTAATGGCACGTCATTAAATCAAACCCTATAAACACTAAGCATTTAAAAAACGTCACTTCTATTTGAAAATGTTCACTATTAATTCAATGTCCCATGAGGTCCTTATACCCTCTCTTCCGCAGAGATTGCATTCAGAGAGGGAGTGCTAAGGATGGAGCCTGCTGTCTTGCACATGCTAGGCAAGAGCTCTACCACCAGGCTACAGCCCCAACACCATGAATTCAATTCTTAAAGTATTCTATGACCATCTTTTAAACACTGCTCATTTAGATTACATAAATTAGTCATTATATGTTCACAACAGTTTCTTGACAAAGCTGCTCTGCAATAAAGTTCCCTCCATGATACAGTTCCCAAGCTCAGGAGGTGCTTGGGGTATGCAGTGTTGAAGGAACATGATGATGGGTAAACCAGGAGCATGCACTTCATCCAAGGATTGAACACAACCAGGACAGCCACACAGGGCTGTTGCAGGCTTCATGGAGGTGGAATGATTTTCAAAGACAGGGCAGAAAAGGTTAAAAATAAAAAACAAAACTCAGAGAGAGCACAGCAGTTGAGGTGTCTGAGCTTTGCAGTAGGAGCAGCTGAATTAAAATCCCAGCACTATGAGTTGTAGTCTTGGACAAACCCATTAATCAATCTGGTAAGACAACTACCCCTAACTCGAAAGGCCACTCCACGGACTATAGGCATCCCACTGCTAATGAGTAATACTCAGTGGGTAGCAACTATTTACACTATTTCTCTTTCATCATCTTTAACATCAGCATCTTTTTGTAATTAGGTATTTTAAAAATTGATTATACTTTATCATTCTAGTATCCACTGGCTATCTATACAAAACACATTTATCAAACTGACCACACAAGAACAAGGTGAAACAAAAGCACTTAAACATTTGACTCCTGAATTCTGTTTCTTTCAAAATGTTACACACAATGTCATCTCATAAGGAAGTGAAAAGTGAAAATAACCTGTAGGGTGTTCAAGACTAATTCCTACCATACCTGGACGTAACTAGGACTCCAACAAATATTTTAAAAACATACTTATTACAAATATAAAAGGGACACAAGGAACTAAACTAAGGTAAAACACAAGAGAATTTACTTTAAAAAAGGAAAAAAGAAACACAAATTTGACACCTCAGGAAATCTGATGAGGAGAAAAGGCAGTAGTCAGCATTCTCCGAACCACTGTTAGCACAGTGGACCAAGCAGCTGGTGGAGAAAGGCCCAGCTGGGACATCAGTGTGACGACAGGGACAGCTGGCACGTGGTCAGCCCAAACAAACCTTGGCAGGCCTTGAGGAACTTCTGAATCAATATACAGGATGTGCCTCCTGTCTGTTTTATTTAAATCTTGATGCAGTGTGTTAACTAAAATCTATGCCCACGACTTACCTATACTGGTTTTAGAATCTATGTTTACACCCACCTCTCCCCTGTCGCCCAGAAGAGCAGCCCCACTGTGACTGTGAGGGTGACAGTGGTGTGCCAGCTGACACACTGTGAAACAGCTTTTTTTTGCAACAGAGTACAGAATAAAGCTGCTTGGAATTAAATGAGAGCAGCCCTGCAGAACAGACTCATCAGTCCCAACAGAGTAGACTGGTTTCACTATCAAATATGTGAGCAGAATACTTCAAGTACAGTATCAGTATCTCTACTTAAGAAAAAAAAAAACAAATTAGAGTCTGATCTATCCCTTTCCCAAAAATAACACTCCTTAGTTTCACAAATTAATCTGGATATGTTTTTAGGTGTAGTATTTAATAAAATGGAACATGGCAGGGATTTGAAACTGGATTAGCACAGATGCTTTCCCCAGACAGACTTTAGTGCATCAGTAAGATGTCACTTCTCTTGTCCTGCCCCTTCACCTTGTACTTCCAAGGTTATTTTATACATATAAGAAATATCACCCAATAAACATAGGTGGCCCCAAACCTGCCAGTCTCCTGTGAATGAGGTGCATACCTGATTTCACTGCTGCAATTGCTCTCGCGGGCGTGGTCACCGCGCTGATGAGGTTACATAGTGAGATGCCGTTGCTGTTCACTTTCTGAATCTCTGGTGTTTTTAAACTCCACTTTTCTTGTAATTTCTTGAGATGTAAAAACACATTATTTTTCAGTTTTAATATCAAATATGCACAATATAATTTGATTTCTTAAACTTATTTTAAAGCAGTAGCAGCTGTAGGCTCTGATTTGTGAGGGAGTCACCAGGACAGAAAAGTACCATCTTCACGCGCCTGCACGGCCAAGGTCTCTGTCAACTACGGAGGTAGTGAGGAGCAGGTGTGGCCCATTCTGCGCTCTGCTCCCAGCGTGGTGCCGGCTGCCACAGGTTCCAAAGTAACTGTCAACTGTAGGTCTGCCCAGGGCAACAGCCGCAGCACCAGATGACATGGACACAGGGACGCAGAATTCCATGTCACAGCAAGTTTGAACCATCAAAACTTCAGTGAGTTTTTAAAAACATTCTTCCTCAAATTTGAAAATGAGTAACTGTTATAAACAATTACAATCTTTAATGACTAGAAGTCAGATGACAAAAGACTTGTGGCTCCATTTGTGCAGGAGATTCAAGTAACTCCAACACTTAATGCTTGTGAAGGTGATATACCTAACCTAGAGTCAAATTCTAAGTAACAAGAAGATCTCTTACGGCTGTGAGAAATGGTATCAAAAATAACTGAAACTAAGTAGAGATTTCACAAGGATAGAAACTTAGATACTAGAACAGTTAGTGAAAGAAAGGGAACTGAAAGTATCCATACTCTTCCTCAAAAGGACATTGAAATATGTTACCATTTCCAAAAATCATGAATGTCTACAGCACATGTATTATACCCAAATCACATGATTTTAGATCAACAGAAACTACCTTTCATTGCAGGTAAATAAAAATTACTATTATGTTCAATGAGTCACCTTGGTTTCTGCCAGAGATTTTCCTAGATCTTCTGCACCAAAGGAGGGCTCCAAAATGGGAACCTGCTCTGTCGTTTCTTTTATCCACGATTTTAGGGATTTAACAAGGATTTGGAAAGCTTCCAGTTGTTCCTGACAAGATGTTGCAGCTTCTTTTCTAGTTAACAAAAAGAGTACCAAAATTTAAGCCACAAAAGGAGAAGTTCCAAATGACAAATTACTAGTCAATAATTTTTATTCTGATATTGGGCTTAATATTGAAAAGCATCCTCCGTGCATAGTACCACCCTGTAAAGTATTCAGACATGCCAAAAGAAATCAGCTAAAGTGTCCCTCAAAGTACATAGAACAGACAAAGAATCTATACTCATTTAACATTATTTAAATTCAGTGAACTTTCTTCTACCCATTATATGATGCTTAATGCAAGCACGCAAATAACTGGAAAGGGAACAGATAGGAATCACCCACATAAGGAACATGCAGTGCCACCTAGAGATCGTGGCACCATCCTGCAGTCACACAGGGTGGGTTACGCTGGTCAGGAAGCTGCCTCAGATCCAGCGCCTGGACAGTGCTAGTGGGAACCTCCCTCAGGAACTTGGGAAGCCTCCGGATGGATCATGCAGATTGCCCTGTGTGTGCAGCACCATAAATAAGCGCTGGAGAACTGCAAACGCGCTCTGAGGACAGCTCCATGTGTCCTGGGAGCAACTCGTGCACAAAGACCAGTGCGCGGCACTTCAGCAGACAGGACTGGCCACTGCTGGATGAATTACTGATGACTGTATTGTTTTCAAGCTGAATCCATTTGAAAGAATAAACAGCCTAATCATTACCAGAAAATCCAGGACATTTCTGCAGTGAAGTGTGAATTATCTGATGACATGATAAAAACAGCAGCATGAGCAGCATGAATAACATCTAAAAGTTCTAGGGAATTCCAAAAAAGCTAAGTAGCTGAAAAGGAAAGTGCTGCAACTTGGCATAACTGACACCACCCTGTGCCTTGTATTTGACTAATGCCCTGTGTTTGACCCAAGAGAGTGAAAAATTAGTCAGGGTGCAAGTCCCATGAGAAAGGCAAAATGAGCTGTACCCACAGGAAAAAAGTTAACCTGCTCAACAAGGAAGCAGGATACAGGTGTCAACCAAAATTAATGTAGCTAAATTGTTTCCAACAGGATGTCTTGTTTTGCCGTTTTCTGTTTTAAAAAGCTCTGTAACTTTCCAGTTCACCACTGAATGACAGGCACCACTCCGTGGGACTCTTGAAACAGGGGTCTTATGCAAGTGGTTGCTGAGCTCAGCTAATAAAATTACAAATTTATCAATTTGGCTGCTTGGATTCCTATACTGTTTAGGAACACACTTCAGAAAGTGCTATTTTCGCTTTTAGGAGTTCTTTTTCATGAGCTGTAGTGACGTCAGATGTGTATCCCGAGATTAGGGATACAAAAGTTCAGTTACAAAGCTTATCCCTGTGAAGTTTTTCAGCTCAAGTCAGGCTCATCTTTTGTTTTTTCATGGACTCATAGTTCATGTAATCTTTAAAAAGTAAATATTAAACAGAAAAGGCCATGAATAAATGGCCCTATTGAAATAATAATGTATAGCTTCTAAAATGGTCCAGAAAGCAAAGAACCATGCACTGTCTTTCAAGGTTATTTTTCATCTTTGCAAATAAAAATGTGGTATTTGCCAAAGGCTTCAGAACCTATATCAACATTAAACTGTTTCAAGTAATACATTATCCCTTTCCATTTTCCTATATAATGTTTTTTACTTTTATGGAAGAAACACTGAGTTTTCTTCCTCAATGTTTCAACAAATAATGTGCTTAATTTTTCCAGCAAAAATTATCAAAATACGGAAACAATGAAGTAACCTTATACTTCTTCAAGTTTTGCATATTTATACAAGTTTTCAAAAGTTTTTCAATTATCAATATAAGTAAATACAAATCACTCATCTAACTGGTATCAAGAGAAATAAAATGCAATTTTTAAAGTGGCGCTTACTTTTCTTTGATGGTATCCTCCATTTCTTTGAATTTCTTAGACAAATTATTTGTTTTTTCAAAAACCAGAGCCTTATCACCTGGTAAGCCATGGCTGGATATGTCTTTCAAGAGATTATGTAAAGCATCAAGATCTTCCTTGCGTTCTAAGAATTCAGAAGTTGATTCCTACAAAACATTTAGATTGAGTCAGTTTAGATGCTGCTGCCATCAAAGGACCCAAGTGGCTGGACTGGAGTGGCTCTACTAAGAATTTCCCAGAGCAATGTGTCTGGCTTGGGTAACATTAGATAGGATCAACATGTAGACGGGATATCTAAGAAATAACACAATAAAATTTATTTCATTTTAAATGCACTCTGTATTTTGACTCTCAGTGGGTTCTGGCACATCAGACGATGTTTATAACATCTATTACAGCTGCTATTTATTTCTAGTCAGTGGCAAAGATAAAGTAGAAGGGTTTGAATTGAACAAAGAAGCGAAACATCCATCTTTATTAATCGATAAGCAATCAAAATAACAACTACTAATTATAATTCTGCCAGTCAGTGTATGAGTGTATCTTAATTATTGATTAATAAAGCTCCACCTTGGAAGTACTAGAAGACTTGCCTGCATATACTGAGACAATTCAGTGACATCTTTTCCTGGCACGTCTGCCTCTGTGAGAGCCTGAGTTTTTGTTTCTAAAAAGGTCTGGAGTTTTTCTGAGAGGCTTTCAAACAGTTCCACTTTGGTTTTCAGCTCCTCCATTTTGGCCAGTTTTTCCCTGTGTTTCTGACTGGCTTCTGAAAACCGTACAGACAGCTCCTTCATTCTAGCCTGTAGTGAGGAAGCAGTGGATGGGTCTGCTCTTTCTATAAATTTCTTCACTTTTTCATTAATGGCGTTTACACTGCTCTGACGACCTGCAATGTCCTGTTCCAACATCTGAAATAAACCAAATACGGCATATACTTTACAATAATGTTTACAAATAACGCCAGAGTTTTAAATATTGTTTGTAACAACATAGGCTTGAAATGCCTATGACTAAGAAGGTTAACAACTGGAACTGAAGGACAAGATGGATTTGTCCCTTGAGGGATCCCATTCAAATCTCTTTGAGAGCGAGTGGTGGACAGCTGGCTTGGTGTGGAAAGAGATGGGAGGCTGCAGCTACTGCACCACTCTGGGACCTAATGGAGCCAGGAGGTGGGTTCCCCATGGCGCTCATTGTTAGAAGGCTAGACAATAAGACCCATGGACACACTTCCCCAGAGTAGCTTTCAGGCAGCTAGCTGTAGCGTGACAGCAAGATAAGATTCTAACACTACACAAGGAACAATACAATAGACAAGCAGACAAAGCCCCCCTTGGGCTTCACCACAGAACAATCACCTTACACACTCAAGTCTGCACTTTTCACACTGATTTTTAGTAAAGTTTTCCGTTACATCCTTATATTTATCCCAAATTTTCCTGTCTTTGGTGCTCACAAAGCTTTTTAAAAACAAGCTGTTAAGTGGAAGTTTTTTTCTTTTGTAAATGTTACTCACAATGTTTTTGCTGATGAGATCCTGGAGCGCAGCGGAGTTTAAGGGCACCTGCCCCTGCTCCTTCAGAGAGCTCTCCACACCACCCAGCCAGTTCAGCATCTCGTCCAGGCCATCCTGCACACTCAGGGAGCGTGTCAGGGTTATCTGGAGCTTTTCATGTCGTTCATGAACAGACTTGGACAGATCATCGTATCTCCCAACAATGTCATCTAGTCCAAACAGCAGGAAATGTTAACCACAACAGGCTCTTTGCTCATTCATTTTTTAAAAAATATACCAAGGGTCAGTCCCACTTATCAACCTCTGTGCAAGGAGGTAGAAGGCATTAAGTTTAGCTGAGGACCTAATCAAGCATGCTCACGGAGCAAGACTAACACTGCAAGGATGTGTGCCAGGAAGCCCCAACAGCTGACCACACAGAGGTTCCTGGAGGGTGCAGCCTCAGAGAAGACAAACTCTGGTCCCCCTTCCATGCCTCACCTCACCCAAGCATCTCTTCCATGTGCCTGCTCATCTGTCCCCTCTGTAACATCCTTGTGCTATGCAGGTGAGAGTAAACACAATCTTCTCTGAGTTCTGTGAGCTGCTCGAGCAAATCAACTGAATCCATGCAGCAGATTACAGGAATCTCAATCTACAGTTGGGGAGGCCCATGCACAGGTCTCAAACTAGGACTTGTGATTGGCATCAGAAGGAAGGAACACTTGAAGAAAGTGGGGCACTGTAGGATCTGATGCTATTATATTGAAGTATAGCGTATCAGACATGAACTGAGTGACACCCAGCTTGTGTCTGCTGGAGGTCACCTGGCATGTACATCGAAGCTACTGATAGGGTACATGCTCAGAAGAGTCTGGAAGACTGTAAAAATGGAAAAAGGATTTCCCTGCTATACAGTGGCTTCAGATCAATGAACCAAAGTTTCCATCCTTCAGTTCATACACAATTTCTACTCAGATTTTAATCCCCTCTCTGTAAGAGGTGAAACAGTAGTCATCTGCTATGGGAATTACTGATTCCCACATGCAAGCACACGAATATACAGTAACTACCACAGACAGCATCACCACTTCACAGAGTAAGATCATACAATAATTAGTATCGAATTCTGTGATTTTCTTCATACCTACTAAGACTATTTAGGATTTACCTGTAAGGCAGGAAACAAAAATACCAAGTCTCTTACCCAGTGTTTTCTGGATATCTTTTTTGGCTGAAAATAAGGACCCCCTGGCATCTAAAAGCACTTCCGCTGCTTTTTTCAGTTTCTCGACAGCAAGCTGCTGACTTGATATCTGTCCTTGCAGAGCCTATGGGATTAAATATTTTTCAATTATGCTTAAGAGGACTACATAACAGATTCTAATAAATTTACAATAAAACAAACTAGCCAAAGTCGATTTTCTAAGATGGAACTTTCCTGGGATGGATTCCTTCTGCAGCTTTCAGAATGAGACCATTACCACGAAGCATTTGCGGAGAAGCATTGACCAGTCTGATGACACAAATTCAATCTTGGAATAAACCCGTGAGCATTGGTTCATAATAATTTTCCTGTTCCCTGATTTTACAGCTCTCCTCACAGAGCCCTTTTAAGCTCTGCTCAGTACCCACACTATCACCAGAACCTAACCAAACATGGAAAACCTTGGGGACCATTTGTGACTCCAGGTAAAGAGATAATTAGGGACTTCCATGTCAGCAGATCTTGATTTTATACTAAGCCATATTCATTTGCATGAATTCAATAAAAGTTACCATCATCTCACAAATTTTCAAAAGCCTTGCTATGCTCTGTGAAAATGCAAAAATGAAACAGGAATCTTATAGCCTGTGGAAGAAAGTATTAAGTGCCAAAAAGTGAGTAAGTAAAAACATTACTGGACACTGAGAAGAAAGATAAGCAGGAAAGAAACAAAGGCCACCATCTCGGCGGTGAACTGAGCAGCAGTGGAGCGGGAGAACAAGCAGAGGCACAGAGACATGACAGAAGCATCTCAGGCCAAGAGTCCTCTTCAGCTTCAGGATGGCGAATAAATAGAAACACAGATAGAAAGGTCTTAAATGTTAGGCTAAACAGTTAACACTTTATCAGAGAACAGTGGAAAACTACTCCAGACTTCTGAGTAAGCAGTGAGCATATACTAAGGATTCATCTACAGGGGGCCAAATTTGAAGCAATGCATTGGGACAATTCAGGGGAAAGAAAATAAGGGAGAGATTGCAGCTAGGAGCAACCTCACAGTCACATCACAAGGAGGGCCTGACAGAGACACTGCAGTCAGCTACAGTGCTAGGAACCCCCACGAACTCCATCATGTTAACTAAAGCTGTGCAGCCCAACACAGTAGCCACTAAATAAATCCATGTGACTTTTAAATTAAAATGCAATAAAATTAACAATTTCTCAGCGTGCCAGCCACACTTGAAGTGCTAAGGAGCTTCTGGTGACTGGTGACCACCCCTTCAGAGAGAGCAAAGAGGATGTTTTTGTCATCATGGATTCTCCACTGGTCAGCAGTGATCCAGAAGGCAGGAGTCAGGGCGAGGGGAGAAGAGAAGAGAAGGGGCCTTAAGCTTTCCACCCCGCCCAGGTAATATGCAGAATTTGTATGCACACATGAGAGCAAGTTTAGAAAAAAAGGACAACCTATTTTGGAGTTCATGATTTCAAAGTGCTCTTGAGACTTTACAGAGAATGTAAAAGCAAAACTGGCCGTGGAGGAAACTCTGACCAGGGGCACTAGACATAAAGAGGTGGAAGTCAGGTCAGACTGTTAAAGCAGAAAGGCCAGCAGCATCAGTCAAGGAGACTAGAGAGACTCGCAGAGGATACTTGTATTCATGTGATGTGGACAGGGAGAAAGAACAAACGCCATGAAGGAAGTCTGTTGCACCCAGAGTAACGCTGACTCCTAGCTGTGTATCCAAGTACCCAGCCAGGGACTGCTCCCAGAGTTGGTCTTCCTACAGGGAAATCCCAGCATCAAGTCCGGAAAATGTTACCTGAAAGGTATAAACACTCTGCCCTCGAACCCCTCATGGGGATTACTGAAAAAAGATGCCCACATGTGCTCCTGTCTGCAGGGTTTCCCTAGAAAAGCCCCTACTACAGTTAATACGTATCTGTCCATATACTACTCCTTTACTTGATATTGTTCAGTAGCTTCCCCTCATAATAAAGGCTAAGATCTGAGAACACTACAAAGAGAATGAAACCTATCCCTTCACTTCCATCTTTCTTAACATCCTGTTCCAGAAATGCCCACAGCTGTGTCCCAGCTTTTTGTTTATGAGAGACCTGAAGCCTTCTCATCTCCACTCACCTCACTCCTACCATCCGCCTTGCTCCTATTTGTGCTTTAATACTCATCTAGGATGTCTTTCCTTGCTCTCTCACCTACCTACGTAAAGTGTTCCTCCTGGAAGGTCCTGTAAGGATCCACTGAATACTACTGCAGTAATCTGTCTCTCCCATTAAACCACAACCTTCTTTATTTCATTTAGTTTTCAACAGCCATTCTTAGCCTTAGCCCTGAGCCTGTCTTATAGCAGGCCTTGTTAGATGTTTCTGGAATAAGTGAATAAATTAATAATCAGATATTATCAGATGTGAAGATATCAACCTAAAAAGGTCATCTTCTATTTCAGTATTATTTATTAATAGTTCTTAAAATAAATGCCTCTAGCTAATGGCGACATCATCCTTAAATAATTTTTACAATACAAGAACTATGTGACACACAGGCAGCCTACATATACAGGTTGGAAGACCCACCAAAGTATGCCCAACCTGGGATCCGAGATCTCAATAGCAGACCCTACATCAGACCCCGAGGCCAAGAAAGCCGGATCAGAGTGCACCTATTTCAGAAACCTGCAGCAGAAGTTTAGTTAAGAAAAAGAAGACTTTAGATCTGTGATTACTGTTAATTTCCTATCAGCTTGTTTTGAAATCCTATATCATTTCTATTGTTTTGATTTTGTTTTTTCTTTTCATCTCTTTAAAATAAAAAAATTTTAAAAAGACAGCAGAAGAAATCCCATAGATGTGAACTTTACTCAGAGCCAGACTAAAGTCCAGGCCACACTGTGTATTCATTTAAAAGATGTAACAGAGTCCTGAGCTCTGACTGCGTGTGTGGGATAAATTTCAGCACACCAGGAAAACTTGGAACTCTGCTCCCAGGTGGTAATACTACGCCGCCCTGCTTCTGAAATCACCCTAGGACTCACGGCAGGTACTGGCATACAGCAGGCCTAATCAGGCCACGCCCAGCCACCTCCAAGCAGTAAGCAGGGCCCAGAATCCAGTCCCAGTCCCTGACCCCACACAGGTTCAATTTCAGCACAGTCCCTGACCCTGCAGAGATTCAATTTCAGCATACCGGGAAAACCTGGAACTCTGCTCCCAGGTAGTAAGACCATGCCCTGCATCTGAAATCACCAAGGAACACACGGAGTCCCTGCATGCCCAGCTGGCCCACACCCATCAAGCTCCAAGTGGCAAGCAGTTGCCAGCAGTCTGTCTCGGGAGCCAAAAATGGGCCAGGTGATTCCCAGTGCTCCTAGGAGGCACTGAAGCACCACTCAAAACCTGGAAACAGGCACGACTCCAGCCTCCAATGAGGAACACCATACTGCAGTGGGACCTTGGCCAGTGCCTCAGCAAGCTGCCTGCGTGACTCCCGCTGGCCCTGGGGAACACGTACTGTTCTCAGATCTTGGCCTGTGCAGCCGCCCACTTCCTGCGCAATTCCAGTCAGCAATGAGGACCGCCACACTGTCCTGGGACCTTGGCCTGCACCCAGAGGACACCGGACCCAGGACATCTGCTGGCTCCTCGGGGACACTCCCTACCTCCTAGACCTAATACTGCTGTTGACCTTCACCTCCCACCCTTTCTCCTAGAACCTTGGACTATAGCAGATTATCTGTGCTAGCTTGAAGAGAGATTCAGTAACTGCCTCACTCAAACAGAAGATCTCAGCAGGCTCCAGTCAGGTTGGTGAGTATGCACCTAAAATAGAGGTGTACACTGGGTAAACAGGCCAGTAGTAAAACTCCCTTCACCTAACTGTAAGACCTTGGTGAGTCTGACAAGAGTGTGGGTGACTCCTTCCTGCACACAGAAAACATCAGGCAGAGTGAGGACTGTGCCAATGACTTCCCCAACATGGAGAAAATCAAAAGGGCTTATGAGACACACAGGCATATAATAGGGACACCAGTAGGGCCTCAGCCGACACAAACACTATAGACAGGGAGATCTGGTGACCTGGAATAATCTGAAGATAAAGTAATGGCAGGAACTAAAAGCTGACCTACATCAATATGACTAGGCTTGTCAGCCCAGGAAGAATATAGGACTCACTCAACAGGCCCTGCAGTGGGCAGTCTGACCCATCTCTTCAATAAGGGACCCAGCAATTGGACAAACATGAACCTTATATTAGGAACCCAAGATACACACTACCAACAGTTGACACTAGTGGGATTGAAGGACCAAATATCAACTTGAAAGGAGAAAGTGGCAAAATAAAAAAGCAAAATGCAAGATGCAAAATGCAAACATCTAGTCTAATAGGACAAGTACAGGAGACACTGAAATAGAGGACTTCAAAAGTAACACACCAGGCCGGGCATGGTGGCTCATGCCTGTAATCCCAGCACTCGGGAGGCTGAGGCAGGAGGATCATTGCGAGTTCGAGACCAGCCTAGGCTACAAAGTGAGTATCAGGCCAGCCTGAACTGCATAGTGAGACCTTGTCTCAAAAAACACACACACACACACACAAAAAAAAAAAAAAAAAAAAAGAAAATTAACACATCAGAAATCTCTGAAAAGATAGCGACTTAAATAAAAAAAAAAAAAACTCTATGAGGCTATAGAGAAAATCAAATTAGAAGTACTCTCCCATGTAAAGAGATAAATAATAACCTTAGTAAAGGAGTTGCTGAGCACAGCTAAAGAAGAAATAAATAAAAAGTACAGGAGCATGGGAAACTGATTGAAATCTTGAATGAACAATATACAAAACAAGCAGAAGTCATGAAACAAACTAAAAGAGACATCCAAAAAGCAAAAATTTCTATTCAGAGTTGGCAAAACTGAAGCTGAGGATAGGATTTTGGACCTTGAGGACAGGATCGCAATTAGCAATAATGAAAGGATAGAACTTTTAAAAATAACCAAGCAGCATAAAATGACAACCCAGCAGCTTCAAGATGATGCCAAGAACAACAATGTAAGATTAATAGGCATCAGTGAAGATGCAAGTCAATGCAAATGACATAAACTATTCACAGA